CTCCTATTGTAGTCATTGGTCAGGAGGACTTGTGTGTTCTGGTGCTTGAGTCCTCCTGGTGCGACAACGCCACGGCCATCGTGTCCTCGCATCCAGTTGTGGTCGCCTCTCTCAACTAAGGGCTGGCGCGGCTTGTCGTTGTGGAAACTGGTCACGAGTGCAATGCGGTTTGGTCCGTTCGCCGTGGCGCGTGGTGCGCTCGGGAAGCCCACTTCCTCAGATGCTCGCGCCTCCGAATAATAGCTAACAGTTCACGAGACTCGTCATGTGTCCTATTCATCATGCAAGATTAGGTCCTGGTTCTAGGCTTGGTCCTGCATGGCATGGTGCCGGGCGGCCGTTCGATCACTAGCGACGATGTTGCGCGGCGGCGAGTAGCTACATCGTTGGTGTGTGCCCTGGCTCATTGTGTTTCGCTGGCGGCGGAGACGTTGTCTGGGGCATGATTCCACCATAGGGTCTAGCTTTTCCGCATGGTGAGTCTGGACTGAGTAGAAGCTGATGATAGGCGTTGATCCGTTGGTTCGAGCGATCTCGTGATTCCCTAGAAATATGTGGCCACCGTGGGCCATTCCTAGTGGAAGTCTTGGGCGTGACCGATGATGAGAGAGGGCGCTAGTCCCCCTACGTAGGTGAACTCTAGAATGTAGCCCCCGCGGGGAGTTCTGAGAGTATATCCGCCATGGGTCATGGAACCCGGACCTCTAGGGCGGAGGTCCTAGGCGCAACTGATGGCGGCGCTAGCCCTCAAAGGTGTTCAACCACGTGGTTCCCCAAAGGGATGTGATCGGACGAGGCCATTCCCTAGGATGCCATGGACCTTTGGTTTCCTAGACGGGAGGCCTGGCCGCGGCTGGCGAGGAGTGAGGGTACTGGCCCCTCTGGATAGGTGAACTTTGGGATGTAGCCCCCGAGGGGAGTTCCAAGAGTGTGCCTGTCGTGGGCCGTGGGATCCAGATTTCCAGAGTGGAGGTCTGAGTCGCGGCTGTAGGCGGACGAGGGCACTGGCCCTTTGACGCTGATGAACTCATAGTTTTTGCGGCGGATGTGGCCGTCGTGGGCTATTCCACCAATGAGTTCACTGGCAGTGCGAGGAGCCATCGCTTCTTTCTCAACAAATGAGAGTGCACGACTACCCCTACCTGGCGCGCCAACTATCGTTGTTCTATAAACTAGACTAGTAAACTTATACGATTGTCGCACTGCTCTAGGAAGACGATGGTAGTATCCTAATAGACACGAGGATTTATACTGGTTCAGGCCGGAGTCCTACGTCCAGTCTTAGAGATGATCGAGTGCGTGTTCCTCGCTTGAATGCTCTGAAGTTCTTACAATGGGGGTTGCAAGAATGGTGGAAGAGATGGAAGGACCTATACTAGGCGAAGGGCTGCCCGAAGAGAAGCTCCAGGAGCCCTACTGTAATGGTGAATAAATAGAATGGTAGAGGACTTCAGAATATGTCTGGAGAGGGTGTCGTGGCTGCCCTTATATAGAGTTCAAGGCCAGGGCTTGTACAATGAGGAGGTTCTCCCAACCGAAGGGTCGAGAGCCTGAGGGAGGTCCTAGCTAACTTGTCTTGCAAGCTACGCTATCTTCTAGTGCACATCCGGTCGTGGTTGTAGTCATGGTCTTCTAGCCGCGTTGCGATAGGGTGTGGCGTGGCGCTACTATGCCGGCCGTGGTGGCACTATAGCCTCAATGGTGGTTCATTAGCCATCCTGTGCAACGCGGTGTCCATCGTGTCCTCCGTCATCGCTTCTGGTCCGCAGGGGCGCGGTACAAGAGTTGGTAGCCGCCTTTAAGTTGTTGATCACCGGGTCATCACTTAGGAGCTGAGGGCCACGATCCCGATCGTTGGGGTCGTGGCTCTCGTCGGCCCGGGTGGCCTTTAAGTCAAGGCCCCCATCGTGGTTCCCATCCCGTAGTGGGTGAGATCGTTCATGCGTCTTGTCGAGTCGTATATAAGCCGGTGGTCATCGTGCCTGTCGTCACCGCCTCGGGGCGGGTTGTCTTGTCTGATCTTTGTAGCGCAGGGCTGGCATCTTATCGGACCGAGGTGACTGTTGTCCCCTCGGTCCTTACGGGGTCAGTGCGGCATGCTTGCTCTTGTCAGAGCAGGCGTGCCTAGCTGCTCTCGACCTCCCCCCATCCCTTCCAGGGGTCGTGACGGGGAGAGGTCGTGCGTTTTGCAAGTGTCGTGTGATTAAGGCGGGTGGAAGGGGTCGGGGCTAACCCCATCTTTAGCGCCTGGTCTGCTCTACTCGGCTCTTGCTTGGCCTCGGTCGTTTGGGCCCTTGTTGACTGTTGCGTTGTAGGCCGCGCGGCCTGCTAACTAATCGGTGCCTTAGGACACCCGGGGTCATAACCCCAACACGTTTCTTGAGAGAATCTGGATCCAAAATGTTTCTGTGAAAATCTAGATCCCTATCAAACACACCCTTAACTTGTAAGCCGATCGAGTTTAAAGGTTTGAAGATGGAGACATATGAGATGTGCACAAAATCCTTAATGACATTGCAACATTAATTCAGGCTACTTGAATCAGGGCATGAAACCTAGCAACACCCACAATCATATCCCTCAAATATGCATAGTAATCAAACATATACTAAAGTGCTAAGTAGGCATCAGCAAATACAAGGATTATATACCATAATACCAACAAATCCAGATAGTCCATAATAAAGAAAGAGGGCCTCAGCAATTGTTGAGCTTTTGACTGTATTTTTTTAATAATATATTTAAAGGGGTGTTTGATTCATTAGCAACTCATAATTAGTTGGCTAATAGATCCTTGCTCTTAGCTAACTAACTAGTATTAGTTGTGAGGTGTTTGATCCCACCAACTGATAGGTGGGTAAAGTGTTGTTTTAACAAACATACCCTTTTCTTTACTTTTTTCTGGCTAACAATTAGGTGTTGTTTGGTTTAACTTTTGGGATAGCAACGGTAATGTAATCGGTTCACACTACTACCTGTTACACTGCAATAGCTAGCAACTTTTGTTTGGTTGGGAAGCCAGCTTTTGACCTGGAGCCAGTCGTAGGCAGCGTAATCATTAACTCCAGGAGATGAGCGGGATCATGATTCTGAAGACCCGTATTGTATAACGCGACAACCGGATACAGGGCGATCAAACCAAACAACAAATAAAGTGACGAGGTGCCGCTACCCAAACCAAACACGCGGTGGAAGAGGCTTTTCATTCAATTCACTAGCAATTAGCTGCTATTAGCTAATACTAGTAACATAGTTGTTTGTTGGGTGTCCAACTAATAGCTAACTAACCTATAAGCTAGACATGTTTGGATATAGCTAATTATTAGCTGGTAGGATCCAAACTAACTGTTAGATGGGTGTCCAATTAATAGCAAGCTGGTTTATTAGCTAGATATTTTTAGATCTAACTAACAATTATTAGCTGACACGATCCCAAATAGTATGTTTGTTAGCTGGGTGCCTAGCTAACATTTATGTAATATATTATACTAGTTGTTTGTTGGGTGCCCAGCTAATAGCTAGCTAGCCTATTAGCTAGAAATGTTTGGATCTAGCTAACTATTAGCTGGCAGGATCCAAATAGTCTGTTAGCTGAGTGCCTAGCTAACATTTAGGTAGTATATTAGCTGGATCCATTTGAATTCACCCAACTAATTTTATCAAGTAATGTAAATAACATACTTAGAGGGGGTGTTTGGACTCATTAGTACCTAATAATTAGCTATTAGCTGGCACTATTCAACCAGACCTTTAATTGGGTGCTCAACTAATAGTTAGCTAGTCTATTGGTTGGATATGTTCAAATCGACTAACTTTAGCAGCTAGTCCCTTTGTCCAAGTTAGAGGACGTTGAAGAAGTTTGTCACGGAGACGATGCCTAAGCAAAAAGACCCTAACACCCCTACATGGGAATCTCGCAAGTGACGGTGGAGTTCAGGAGCAACGCTCCGGCTAGAAAATACTTTTCTATTCAATTCTCTACACTATAGAGGCCATCAGTACACCTTTTTTTTTTGGCTTTTTAATTCATCTTCAGGCGAGTGGTCACTGACCGTTTGATGGTAAGTTGACTATGATTAGACTGATACGTTGAGTTATAACATCAAATATGTGAGACAATTTTTGAATCATACGACGACTTGTATTTTGGGACGAAGTGAGAACTTTTTAGTTAGTTGGATCGAAAAGGCCTCAAGTGAAAGAACCAGCCAAAATTCATAAAAGCATGGAAGATAGTTAGAATAAATTTGGGTTTGGGGTTAGAGGACAGAAGATACTCTATTTCATAAAGCATGGTAGTTAGAACAAACTTGGGTTTAGAGTTAGAAGGGAGAGCCTGGCTTATCAGTTATGGTACAGTGTTTTTCTCTCGTAACAAATCAACGAACAATACTTTTTCAGCTTGCCTTTTCAGTAAAACAAACAATGACCATAACAAAATAAGGCGGTAAATGTGACTGAAGTTTGGGACACGAAAGAAACCAGCCAGCAAAATTACATGAAAACCTGTCGACTTCAATGTCGATAACCCATAAAGTTGCTGAACATGGCCAGAAAAATACATGAATGCATTTCAGATGATTTTTAGTCAGTCAAGAAGCGAAAAATGCATGTACTCGCAGTTTGCATTGATGGCTTTCTGATTTTTATACCTAGGAACAACAACAAACAGCACCCACATATCCACTCGCATAGATTCATAACTCAAAACTGAACAATATACAACTTGTACGTGGCATGGGCTTGAGATGATGGCATTGATGCAACATCGCCATCTTTACTGTCCAGCATCAGTGAAGCAATAAAAAACAGCTAGCACGAGCAAGTTATTTCTTCTTAGGCTAAGCTCCACAAATCTCCCGTTTTTGCAAATGTCAGCGTGGAAGAATTTAAGCAACACTGCCACAACATTGATGCTTCACTCCTGTGCAGTTGCTTACTACAATGCCAAGTTACCAACCATCCACTACCACCTCTGTCCGCACAGGGGACTATACAAGTTAGTAGAATGAAATGCTGTATGCAAGCCTCCGCTTGTGCTGCTTCTCAAATGCAGTAATCAGGTCATCAATTATGTCCTCCCAGTCACCATCAATTGCTTCAAGCTGGCATGGAATAACATATATAAGTTGACTCCTCATTGGTCACCAAAAGCATGTGTAGTTTCATTAGTAGATTCACATTTGTAAGCAATAACATTGGAAAATTGAATCTTTGCCATCGATAAAGGACACAAAATTGTGGCAGAAAATTCCGAATATGAGGTTAATGGAAAAATAGTAGTATAAACATTAAATTCACCACTGCAATATTGTGTTGCAACAGTGCAAAGGTTAATGTTGCATTCCATTCACAGCACAATACCACCATTAAGCATTTTGACATCATTGTGATATACAAATGTATGTTGCATTAGATACCATATAATATAATACAAAGACAACAAGGCAAACAAGCCTTCTGTGATGATGCATGTGGAAACAAAAGAAATACCTCAAATAAACATTGTTTTGCCAAATAAGTTATGAAAGATGCAATGTTCATACATTCAGGGTACTGATTTCATACACCGATTAACCATCTAAAATTACAATGAAGCAAGCTACGAGCCTTTATTTCTGAAACACTGTTTTTTTTTTTTTTTGGTGGGTGGGGGGTGGGGGGGGGGGATGGTCTATGAAAACTGCCAATGATATCAGCGTCAAAGCAGGTACCCAAAATAAGGGAATTCACGAATTTGAGGTTATTAATCCACAGATACCAAGGAACAGAGCACCGGTTAAACATGACTGTATCCACCAATCAGAATAACTGAATTATGTGAGAAACCCATTTGAAAATAATTTGCCATAACCAAGCAATGACAGCCAGAAATAAACGCAAGAGTTGGTTAACAAAGTTACTTTTAGTACTACTGTGGTACATGATCATGATAGTCAAAACTGGAGCACCCCTGCAGCCTCCCCATTCCACTGCCAAACCTTGTTTCCCTTTCTCCTTTCTCCATTAGTTACCTCTCACCACCGCTAGCAGTGAGCATGCAGTGAGACTAGTGGATAACAAAAGCAACCCTCAAAGCAGATTATTAGGAGTGTGAAGGATGTTTTGCTTCTCTTTGGTATTTAACTCATCCAGGTAGCATGTATTTTGATCTTTATTTATCATTCAGTTTTATTTACTTGAAGTCTTGAAGACTTGAACTAACAATTAATTTTGCTGCCAACCTAAGGGCACGCATGGTCCTCAGCCTACTGATTACTTACCATTAGCATCATTAACAACAAAGCCTAACAACTTAATACTCAGTAAAGCTTATGCACTACATATGGTATGTTACTTTTACCTTCTGGCACAACTCTACAGCAAGCTTTGCCCCAACACCAGCTTCTTCATGGTTATCTTTGACATCCATATTTATTATCAGCACACACTTCATCAGCCTCGGCTCGCGATTACTCATATCTGGACACAAAAACAAATGTTAGGTTCCAGTAGTTAATGGCCCTGATCAGAAGTGCTGATTCCTGCGGGCTGCTGCTGTGCCGCTTATGGTTCCTCTGCTGTTAGTCCTGGTTAGCTGGAGCTTTGCAGATGCAGAATGCAGCGCTACAGCAGCAAGCTCAGCTGATCAGGCTGAATGTCTACACAACTATGCAATCCTACAACACATAGTTCAATTGTAATTGCTTTATAAATCTCCTAGACCAAAATCAAGCTCCAGTTCAGAGGTGAATGAATTACCTTCAACAACCAAGTCGAAGACCCTCTCCTCAAAGGTCATTATCATATCAAACACGCCGTCGCCGGTGTTGTCCTGCCACCGCTGAGGCGCCAGCTTCACCGAGGTGTTCCTCTTCAGCATAGGCAGCAACCCATTCCTCTTGTACCTGGATGGTTCGCCACAGAAATCCATTTGAGAGCAGGGCATTTCAAGTTATCGTGCAGGGTGCCCAACAAGTCAAAGTGATCACACACAAAGAAACGGGAAAGCTAGTGAGCACACACAAAGAAACGGGAAAAGTAGTGAGCACAAACATCCCTGCAGACCCAATTCGTCAAGTACCCCCCTTGTTCAAATAATTTTTCGCGAGGAGACAGAGACATTGCGAACAAGGACACCCAAATTGCGTAAGATTTAGAATGGTTGCTATCTGTTTCGATCAAATGCGCACTGAAATTCGCATAAACCACATCCAGAACCCTAAACACTACAATTTCTCCCCAAATCAACCATAGGAGGCAGGTCAGCGAGGAGAGGGAAGATGATAGTAAGTGCTTGCACTGACAGGTCGGGGTCCTTGCGGCGGAGGTCGTCGTAGATGGCGCCGTAGGGGGTGCCGAAGTCGTAGACGTTGGGCTCGTGGAGGGAGGGGCCGGGGAGCTTGACGTGGGTGCCCGTGCCGTAGGACTCGACGTCGAGCCCCGCGCGGCCTAGCTGCGAGTGCGCCTCCATGCTCCGGTTCATGTTCGAGGAGCACACCATCGCGAACCGCCACCTCTTTCCCTCGGCCACCATCCTGTCCGCCGCCGCCGCCGGATGTCGCCGTCGGCGAGAGGTCGAGCTCTCTGTCGACCTGACCTGCGGGCTGCGGCCTCTGGACTGATGTGCTGCGCTTTAGGATTCGGGCGCGGGGAAACGGACGGACGGGATGGTTTTGACTAGGGGATTGGAGTTCGTCTCGGGCCCACCGGTGCTACTCGATCCGGCCCAGAAGTAAACCTGTGGTGTGCCAGGCCCAACTGGCCTTTTCTATACAAGGCCTAACACGGCCTTACGAATGACAGCAAAATCTTGCACTCAAAAAAAAAAAAAAAAAAGCGTGCTAAAAAAAACGGCTTGCTCGTTGGTACCCAGTTCCGTTCCAAATTACCGGTCATTTCAATTTTTTAAGTCAAACAACCTCTTTGATTAAAATTATAAAAGAATTGTAAGAATTTATGACATCCACGGGGTATACTATGAAAATATAATTAATGAAGAATCTCATGATACTTATTTGGGATCATAAATATTATTATTTTATTATATAAATTTGGTTAAACTTGAAATGTTTTGACTCTTCATATAATGACTTATAATTTGGGATAGATGGAGTACTTGATATTGTGAGGCTATATTTGCAACACATGTGATTTGTGAACAGTTGCGAATTTAGGATTTTACTTGCAGGATATGTAATAAAAAAATTTACATGCAATTTCGCTAAATTTCATTTAGCAATTCAGTAGAATAAAAATTTGCTCCATAATTCGGTATATATAGATACTAAATAACATAATAAGTCATGAATTCAATAATTAAGTTCAAATTTTTCATAAATTACAATATAAATAGTACAAACACTATTTAACAGTTCGAAATATGCATAAATGAATCTTATAAAACTAATTTATCTAGCTTATGCTTACAACACTATTTAGCAAGCACATCTGTAAAGTGCATCTAGCTCTTTAATGGGTTTTGGTGAATTAAATGACAACACTATTAAAGATCTAACAAGTTTGCTAAGTGTTGAACAGAAAATTGAGTTTATTGCATACACTTATGGACCGTGGAATGAGAAGTGTATATAGGTTCAACGAGAATGCAAACTTGATGATATTCCATATAATGTTTAAATCAAGACCAAAATTGTGTATTGTTGTGTTGGAAGATCACGAAAACAATATAGTTCAAGAGAAAGACAATAATGCAAATGGAGTTGATGAAATGGCTTCTATGTTGAGGAATATCATAGTATCATGAGAAAGCAAGCATATTTGGCAAATGTTAAAAGAGACTTGAGTTGATGATTTTAGATTGGTCTCAATAATGACTTGCTTTGCATGAACAAAAGGAGTTTGATAGTGGATTAGCTTTGATCAAGGATTGAAGAATGAGTCAAGAATGCATAAGTGAAGAAATACCAAGCAAATGTTTAAATGACAAAGGACACAACTCATATTGGATATAAGTCGGTCTCTATGTTAGTTTGCTTGTATGGATAAAGATTTGGAAAATCACTTTGCATTGCTTTGATCAAGTTAGAAGTATGAAGATAGATATTGAAGTGAGTATTATAAGTATCAAGCCAAAATAAAGAGGATATAAGAAATCATGAAATAGCTTGACCATATTGATGTTGATTCATATATGTCTTTATGTGAATCAAACTAAAGTTTGATTAATCTCAACATTCATATCTAGAAGATATTCAAGTAAGGATCGTACTATTGAAGAAATGGTTTTTCAATGAATACTTAATATGATGTGACTTGAGTATGGCTTGATAAGGTGAAGATAGCAAGGAAATGGCTTCGAGGGACTAAGTGAAGGTAAAGGACAAGCGATGACTTGAGGACCGAGGTACCATAGCTAAGGTGAATAAGAGAGTACTTGCATTGAGTCAAATAACTAATCAAGCTATGAGGGATCATATTGTGTTGAGAATCAAATCATTAGAGAAAGTGACTTGAAGCCATTGAGGTGAACTCATATGTATAGAATATAGTAGAACCGACCAATTTATAAGAGCACAAGTACAATGGCAGCCCGTAAAAGGTCACACTCTCATACTTGAGCCCATATAAACCCGGTAGTTCGTTGAGTTCCACGAAGAGTCTCGATTAACCATCAACATATAACCAAGATTGTACATGATTCAATATACATGTCACACATTACATAAAGTTCACAAATACAGTTTACCCATCAGAGTACGACTTTAGGTTATTACAAACCGAGTTTAGTGAAATAGTAGCGGAAACAAATTAAAGTTTGAAACTAACATTTACCATCATTGTTTAAACATAGTGCCAGCCCAAGACCACACTTCCACAAAAGCATATAAGAAGAATTAAAAAGAGCTGCTTGCCTAGGGCTTACTCATCGTCCACGGTGAGACAGAAGCAGTTCTTGCAATAGCTATGATAAACTGTACCATCTGCAACAATGGAAATAAAACCCTAAGTACGAGAAGTTACTCAGCTAGACTTACCCATTATAAACCAAAAAAATGACTCCAAGGATCATGCAAAGCTTTATACATGAAGCTAGCTTGACAACATTTTACATAAAAAAGTTTACCAATTCAAGTGTACAGTTATAATTCGGTTATCAAGTTAATTATATATATTCATCTCTAGATTAGCAACTAACATATGCCAAACATGTGGTATATCATTTAGTAGCATACAGTAGTAACTATATCCGGTATAATAATTCCATGTTCATCATAACCATCATTCCATAATAAAATTACTACGATGTTGGGACTAACCAAGTTTCTCACTATCCGGGAGAGATGATGATTCGAATCGATTTCAACCAGTTGGAAATTTATTCCTAACAAAAACTCAGGTAGACCAGATCAATGGTCACCTTTGGTACAACTTAGGTCCACATTTCGTGGGTTCGTCCGGCGCCGCACAATCAGGGACAACCAGCTGCCTGAACGTTCAGGTCTGGTCTGCCCTTGGGCTCATGTCTAGCTCTCCGTACATCCTTGCTACCATCCAGAGTGCGCACTTTTATAGAACGGGGCTCGGCCTGAGTTGAGCTACTCGGCTTCATGGTTGGAACGAGTTATTCGGCCAGTTAAGTGAGAGACATGCGTTCACTCTCAACAAAAGCGCCAACAACAGTACGGTCCTTAATCGGCACAGACAGAATCACATGAGTCAATCTACACATAGACTTCGTTTAGCCTCCATTTACATTATCTCATGGTTCTTTTTTACGATAGCAAATATAGTCAACCGTGCTTCAGTATCCACCTATATCTCGCAGGCGATAGGGAATCACCCGACTTCTACCGGTCTAAACATGGCTAAGCATATATTCGATCCTAGACCTACACATCAAAATAACTGGTTTTGACCATAACTGGAGTTATACACATCAAAATAATATGGTTGTAGACATTATGAAAACCTTATGAAATTTCCTACAACTTTTTTAAAATCACCTTAATGTGATTCAGTAGTTATCTAGGTCAAACAATTCAATCTTTCAGATCTATCCAGAGAGCAAGCATTTCTGACAGCAAACTTCTAACAGCCATAATTCATAAACCATAAGGCCTATGACTATGAAATTTTAATACAAAGTATATAAGTAAGTTATCTACAACTTTGTTATTAACCATCTTTACAGAAAAGATCATTATCATCATGAAATCATCATCACAACAGAACTATATATGCAGCCATCTAATTGAATTATAAAGCAATAACTAACTAGTTGCATACAACCAATTACTTATAAGCTTAACTAAGAACATCAACATATCATATGCATCTCAAGCACCACATAAAAATCATGGTTAAACACAACTAATTTATTTATATTTATTTATTAATTTTCTTAAATAATAAGGTGATTTAAAGGATAAATATTTATAATGATTAATAAATTCTGAGAAAATTACAGTAGTCTAACAATGACCTTAGTAGTCCACTGTACAAATTTCATGCAATTTGGATAAGTATAGCTACCTTTACAAAAATGACAAGTTACATAAGTTTATTTTAGCAAAAATAGTTTAGCATAGTGAAAATTGTCAAGAAATAGATTTAATATTTTTCTTACTTTCCTCCTATCATAATAATACTGTGTAAAAATTTGTATGATCATATGTTATGTATTTTTACCTCAATTAATTTCACTAGAAACTAGCAATTAATTAGGATTAAATATGAAGATGATATTTCAAGTATGCTTACTATAGGTTTAGTATTTTTTCTAGCTAGAGAATGTCAACACAAGACCAGCAAAATTAGAATCACAATTTTATCACCTTTCTAGCTCAAGTTATACATTTTACAAGATATAAACTACTTTAAAAGCACTTATCTTGCTCAATTTAATTCTCCTAGAAAAATACCCTAAACAATAAATTTCATATTTTTATCAAATAGTACACTTTAAGATGAAACCAACAAAATTTTGTTCACCCACTTTGGACACTCCTGGATCAAGATATGAATTTTTGAAGTTTGCATTCAAATTTGTGAAAACAAATCCAGAAAACAAATTCAAAAACCGACTCAGAGCTGGGGCCCGCATGTCAGCGACACAAAACAGAGGCGCGGCTTGACCGACGAAGAGCTCGTCGATGGTGAGGTCATCGGCGTTGAGGTCGGCACCAACATGCTCCCCATCCTATTCCGCACCTATAGGTACCCTTGGTTCGCTCAGAGGGTCACCTGAGCTAGCTTGCCGGCGAGCATGGCGACTCAGCGGCGGCGCGCGGTGGTGCTCCAGCCATCCCCGGCGACGGCATGGCTAGGCAAGCGCGTCTACGGCATCTATGAACCCTGGCAGAGCTCTACGGCATGGATCGAGCCATAGTGAAGCGGCGAAGAAGCTCGGGCGCGTGCATGGTAGCACGGCTGCGCGAGCGCAACGGTGGCACGGCGGCGTTCCATTTCGACGAGGCCGACAGTGGCCTTAGGCTCTTGCCTTAAGCTAGACCTAGATCTAACCTAACTCTAATGTCTATAAGCACGCGAGGAAGAGAACCGAGCATGCACAGC